TGCCGACTGTTCGTCCTCTTCAGATTGCCCCTGCAGAAGAGAAGGACTCCATACAGCGGGTTGTCATCATCATCGGAACACCAGAGGCTCAGTTTAAGGTACCTCTTCACATCCATAAAAACACATAAAACCCTCAAAGTAGTTATAAAGAGTTGAGACGCATAGCTACATTTTATGTGAGCAGCTGTTTGACTTCTGCAGACATGATGTTCTTGTAGCCTTTATGGCTTTTTTATTAGTATGTTTCTGCCTCTGGAGAGACAGTCTTGAGCATATTCTAGGGCTTTCTTTATTCTGTAAAAATGTCCCCTTTTCATAAATGCAGCATGAGTAATCTGTGTTTTTCTGGTTGCAGGCTCAATGTCGCATCTTCGGCAAGCTGAAGGAAGAGAATTTCTTTGGACCCAAAGAAGAGGTGAAGCTGGAGGCTCACATCAAGGTCCCTTCCTTTGCTGCTGGACGCGTCATCGGGAAGGGTGGAAAAACGGTAAGAAAGGGCTCAAACTCATTAGTGGTTAAACTAGCTGTACAAACCCAAGCCAGCAGCTGACAAAGCTAAACTAGGCACTACATTTAAGTGTTCAGTCACAATTATGTTATCCCTTTGTGGCTGCAGGTGAACGAGCTGCAGAACCTGACCTGTGCAGAGGTGGTGGTGCCAAGGGACCAGACGCCTGATGAGAACGACCAGGTTATCGTCAAGATCATCGGACACTTCTTTGCTTGCCAGGTGGGTTTTTCTACACAACTGGAAGATCTACAGTACTTCAGAAAGTAACAATCCCTAGGTCTGATTCCGCAGAGGCACTGTTCTCCTTCAGATCTGCATTTGAAGAAAGGTCTTACTAAACTTGTTTGAAAGAGCTGTAATCCCGTACATGCTAAAAGAAAAAAAGCAAGATGGCTGCCTCTGTGTTTTGGAGCGCTCTGTTTTGTCTTGTTTTGTGCGTTAATTCAGTGTTTACATAAAGTACTTCAAACTCTTTCACCAGGGAAGAGTTCCTAAATATAAGATAAACAACTTCAGCGGATTACATTGTGTACATTAATGCACACAATGTACACAATATCTGTTTGCTTTTTTTTATTACTGCCGAATTGTATTCCATATTTTATTCCATTCTATTTCTATGTAAATACTGCTATATTTTACTATATTCTTTATTTTAAATATGTTAATGTTTTATGTATGCACCATGACATCAAGTCAAATTCCTCGTAAATGTAAACCTACCTGGTAATAAACCTGTTTCTGATTCTGAAGAGCATCAGACCTCTAAGGATGTCATGATCAGATCTCTTTCTTTTAAGAACTCTTATTGTGATAACTTGGCTCTAATCTCGTCATGTTTTATGTCATGTAGCTGGCCCAGAGAAAGATCCAGGAGATCCTGGCCCAGGTGAGGAGGCAGCAGCAGCCTAAGCCCACATCTGGAGGCCAACCGCCACAGCCCCGCAGGAAGTAGATCTCCAGCGGACCTGGAGGAACGGTGACTGAATCTGCCAGAAGACTCGACAGACGGATTGATGAAGCAGAGTCCGGGGGGAGAAGAAGAAAAGGGGTCGTAACGCTCATCTCAGGGGTCAAAGATTATCAGAACCCAACCAAACATCCACCCCTCCTTGTCTTGCTTGATGAACTTTCAGGTGTGGCTAAGAGACGATCCACCTCCAAATCTCCACCACCTCACTTCTCTGCATCTCTGTGAGAATGTACTTCTGAGGGCTCCCAACGACGTCACCTGCCCTCACACGTACGCACCCCTCGACCGCTCTCCTCCTCCCCCACGGGTGTGTTCAAAATATTATTATTTTTGTCCTCTTTTTACACTAGAAACACAAAGAAGAAATAAGGATCCCCCCCTCCTATCAGCTACTTGGTGTGGTACTTCAAACCTGACAAGATTATTTTTGTTGAATTTGTTTTTTTTTTAAGTGTTTAATTGGTTTATGAAGCTTTCTCATCAGTTTTCTGTGGAAAGGAAAAGGCATTGCTATCAAGGTCCTGGTTGGACCAACAGAAAGGTTTATTTTGGGGGAGGGTTGGCTCAGATTGGGTGGGCCATGTTTAGGGGAAAGATTCTTGTTTCAGGCCAGGACCCCTGAAAGGGTGGATTATATTGGGTGTCCTGCCCTAGTAATGATAGTGGCATTTTATAAATTTGGATGCATTTTATAGATAGACCTATATACATAGATGAATATATATTTAGAGGTGAGGGCAGCGCCACGACTGACACTTAGGGAAAACAGTGCCGAACTGCTGCTGCCCAGGAAAACCAATTTAATATGCATTTTACTTAACTACCTCAGGATCTAGTACCTCAGAAGAGAAAAGAAAATGATTATATATATATATGAAAAAATGTTCCTTTCTTTTTTATTTTGCTTTTGTGGTATTTTGTATACTTTATAAAGCTGATAGTCTTTGAACATTTTTATTTTTTTAAGAAAATTTAAAATTTGGTCAGCTGCCAACTGACCTTGCCTTCAACTCGGATGCTTTAGGTGGCTTTGTTCATGTGTATGTGTGACTTAAGATGACCCTGTACATAAAGTCTATTTGTACATAGCAGCCCCGGAGCAAGAGTTGGCGCCCCCTCAGCTGGCGGCTGACAGGAGTATCGAGAGAAAATTGCCTCAGTTTTTCCCCTGAGGGTCCACCATCTTCTGAAAAAAAGTACAAAACAACTGCAACATGCAAATAATGCCAACCGTACATCATTGCAGCAATGCCGTTTAGTTTTGGGATTGACATTGTTATTGGTAATGGTACTTTAATTTGTCAAAAAAAAATCTTTTTTGCCTTCCTAGGAGGGCTGTCGTCAGGGCAGTGTGGACTTTAGGGGTCTGCTCGCTGCCCTACAGTCAGCAGAGAGTCTGTTTTTTCGTCTGTTTTGTTCCCAGACCATCTGCCACCTTCTCGATGTCGGTGTCTTAGCAAGGTCCAAGCCGGACTAGGTTTTTTTTCATAGAGCAAGCTTTGTCAGTTCGCAGTGGCCCTTGTAGCCAGGCCGTCAAGTCAATGTAAACGTTGTTCACTGAATGGTGAGGGTAGGGGGAGACTCACTGATAGACGCATATTCTTCTTTTTTTTTGAGCTATAGAAAATTGATTTAAACAAAACATTCTCTGTATCCCACAAATGTAACTTGATGTTGATTTGTTCAAACAGGGAAAAAGCCATAAAAGGCAAAATACTGAATGACCCCCGACTTTGGGGGGTGGTAAGAAAAGAGGAAAGGAATCCAAAACTTAAATATACAATTTATTTCATTTGTCTCTTCATGCCGAATGTAAATATGTTGATTGTGGTAAAAGTGCTCGAGTGTATCCATGCTTCCACAGTAGAACGCCGTCTACCTCAGCTGAGGGGGTGGGGGGTTGTTGTGGCACGAGGCACCCCCCCTGCCCCCACTGAGCGCCAGCACGCACCGATACCTCAGTCCCCCCCCCCGAACACTTCTTTCTAAATGGGCGCGCCATCCTAACACCACGCTTAACTGAGGGGCACAAGTGATACTTAAAAATATCCCGACACCTCCCAAATCCCTGCTTCCTTCCTGCCAAACCACCCTCCCCACCCCCCCTCTTCGCAGTTTGTTTTGATCTACCTCTTTAGACACGTATTTGAAGTAGAGGCATTCTTCTATTTGTTAGAATTTAGCCCCCCGCCCCCTTCTTTATGCCTCCCCATGCTTCCCCCCAGATATGAATGAAAACGTAAACTAAAATCATGTACTCTTTAGAACTTGAGAGAATAATCGAGAAAAAAAAAGTGATCAAAAATATTTTCTTTGCCAGTGTTTTATATGTACTCTTTGACTTAATTGAAATCCTCAACCGATGGTTATTTCTTTCTGCTTTCTATTTTTGGTGGTGTGGCTTACATGTATTTGAACTTTTGCTTGGTTTTTTTTTGTGAGAAAGGTCAAATCACATGTTTGATTTTGCATTCAATAGTTAAAATGAGAAAAAATACAGTTAAAAAAAAAAGGGCCTTGCCTTTTCTTTCTGATTTGTAAGACTTCAAAAATAGATACAAGTCCTGTCTTTCTTTCCCTTTCGTCTTTTACAGATGCTACACTCTCTCGCTGATTTGGTAGCTAGTTTCTTCTGTTAGCATTTCTTGGCTGTGTAACGTGAAACATCCTGGTATAAGACAGATGAGGGACTGGGTCTCTGAGTTTTTTTTGGAGAAGTGATCTAACTTCAGCATGATATTCCCTACACCTCCTCTGCAACCATGATTGTGCCCCTTCACCTCCCCTTCACACACAGCTCCACTTGTCAAATGCCTCTGAATAAAAAAATAATGAAATATTGGTGTTTTCTGTTTGCTTTTTTAAGGGGACTGACGCACTTTCTCTTGTGGGATATGGCTTTTATATTTTGGAATAAATCTATTGGATTAAATGTTTTAAGGAAGATTGCTTTGTGGCACAACGGTCTATTCTTGGTCGATGTTGGAACCTGAAATCATACGCACTGTCGGTGACTTTATTTTGTTACAATTGGATATGTTCCTTCTCAGGTTAAGATTAATGATAAGTCTAAAACTCTCAATGCTCTTCCGTTCTTATCAAAACTTGCGTTGAAACCTTGAGGGTTTTTAGCATTGTGGTCCGACGGTATGTTGTGCAATAAACGGTACATAATTGTGTATAATATACAACATAATACTCATTATGGCATACTTTTAATACAGTGAATATAAAACGCAAGCAACAAACTTGTATATGTACAGGTAGACTATTTTTTATATATATTCTAATAGTGAGGGTGTAGAACCTCATTTGTCAAGGATACACAAGGTAAATTGCCATGGTTGATTTGTTGACATCACAGGCTTTCAAATGCTCCAACCTTGAGATAGTAATTGTATTGAATAGTAAAAAGAGATTTCTACCATTTGTGAATGTACTGAAGCAAGGTCGGTCAAATAATTAATATTCCCGTACAAAAACATGAAGAGAAATTACTGAATGTTGTCAAAAGAGTGGTTAGTTCACAAACTTTATTAGAGTCCTCAGTCAAGTGTTTCCATTGATTTGCTTCTTACATTAAAGAAATTGAAATTCATTCAACATGCACATGTCACTGGTAGTATACATTTTATATTGGAAAACCATCTCAAGGAATTCGTACTTAACTGTTATAGGCACACCGTACTGTAAAGCAGCACTTGCCACACAGTTTGCACAAAAGTGATTCATTTGAACAATAAACGGCCACTACTTCAACCCAGTTCATCTCTTAGCAACTACCTCTTCCAAAGTTCCATAGCCTACTTTGAGAGCTCCTTGCCAATCATACACTGCAGTAGCTTTAGCCAACATTTAACGACTAAATTAGGACACAGAACTCATTATTTAATAGTATTTCTCTATAGACATGAACATTATTCTGCTATCTTGACTTTTTAATGATTAAACTAAGCATTGAGGGCTGAAATGCTTTGGTGCAGCTTCATGGAGCCTACAGGGGGCGTCTCTCAGTCAGCAGGTGGTGGTTCTCCTCGCTGGAGGGGAAGAGAGCATCCCTCAGACGGACCATGCGACCTCCGACCCCAGCATGGCCAAAGGCATCCTCCACCAGGGACCTACGAATGGGTCGGTACACCTTGTAACGCCTTGGAGAGAGGGAGGAGCGAGACAAGGGGTGAGAGGATGGAAGGAATATTTGGTGGTTAACAGAAAGAAATTGGTGTGTATGTGGAGGCTCAAACTACTCACTTGCAGACCATATAGGCAATGAATGCAAAGACGGCTACCAGCACGGCGGTTGAAGAGAGCACCACCTCTGCAGGGTGTGATGTCTTGGACACTGCAGGATGGAAAAAACAGTAATGAACCCAAACCGGAAGCATCAATATGTCCACTTCCTAAAAAGCTGCAAGAAAAAGAGAAAGATTGTGAAAATGCATAGTAAAGATATCTTTGTGTAACCGACCAGGTGCATCCTGGGACTTGTTGATGGTGACGGTGGTGGTGGTCAGGGTCAGGCTCCTGGAGTCCTCCAGGGTGATGTTGACACAGTAGGTGCCCGGCTCTGGAAACGATCGCATGAGGCGCACTTCACACTGCGATGATGGCGGCATGTCGTCACACATGATGCTGCGCACCTGAGTACAGGTGTGGTCTGACACAATGGTGCAGGCTGAAGTGGGGATGCTGAGTACAAGGGCATTGAAGGTCAATATAATCATCCTTTTTATACTTAACTTTAACAAAAATGAATCTAATTTCCTTGAAAACTTATGAGTGTGAATATTTGACTGTGATTTAATATTAACATATTGTAATCATAATCTACAAAAACAACCATTTAACTGACAGTCATTCATCTTTTTGTATGAGCTAGAAATGTTTAAAACATTTATATGGAGTTACGGACATACAAAGAGTCAGTTGAAAGCTGTCTTTACAGTTACAATTTTAGATCTCACCCAAAGGTTGAGAGGGAATAAATACATCCACTTAATGTGTGTGTGTTCGCATCATGTGTTGTAAAGCAGACTGAGGCAGACCAAACACAGCAGTAGTGCAGCTCTTGCCGTCTCACAGCAGTCAGGAAAACACTAATAAACACTAAGTCTGTTTAACAAAGTTGATAATATAATAATTATATACTCACTTGCCCAGACATTTCACTAGGAAGCTGATGTCGGTGTTGGTCACTCTGGCAGCGGAGACCTCCACAATGCGGCTGTTTGGCTCGCTGCTCAGTGTGTGCTTGGGCTCTGTGGAGAACACATTCATGTAGTGGTTTTAGATGTATATAATCATCTTCTCGCAACATTAACATGATGGTGTCTGTGTATGTGTGTTTTTCGACAGATACAAGCTGAAAAACAATTTTGATATAAAACTATAATTCTATAGCAGAAACATGGATAACTTATTCTGGATTTTTTTTTTAATTAGATTATGTTCAAAAAGTAAAAACGACAATTATGTCATTAAGGTATTTGGTAATTCACTTTTGAAAATAGGAGAAGTAGAGGTTTTAACCTAATGATGGTAACAAAAACATTAAGATTTATCCTCAGGAGACCAATAATGATACAAGGAAATGCATTCAATGGTTAAATTATTATAATTTGGACCAAAGTAGTGGCCTGACCGACCGACAAACAAGGCCACAACTGCATATCAACTAAATAAATTATGAAAGTTAAATTGTAAACTGACCCAATGTTTTATTTTTTTAAATCTCCAATTATATTTTAAACCCACTAAAGTGTTCAATTAAAAAAAATGCCTGAATTTGGCACCATCTGGTGCTGGTATCGTAAATGACAGACAGCAATTGAAAATTGAACTGCTTTGAAAATACAGATTAAGGTTCTAATTTGAACTTTTGTGACCCCTTGCAGCCCACCACCTACCAATAATGGTGATGTTGCCCATGAAGATCCCATGGGCGTAGCGGAAGCACTCGTTGCTGTTGCTGTTGCTGTTGCTGTTGCTGTTGCTGTTGCTGTTGCTGTTGTTGTTGCTGTTGCTGTTGCTGCGCTTGTTGCGAAGCCAGGCCAGGGCCGTGGGGTCAGACCCTGGTGCACCGGAAACAAAAGGAGGTAGGGGCTCCGTGGTGGGCACGCCTGTTGTAGAGGCAATGGGAGCAGAGGAGGACGTTAGGGGCTTGCTGGTGCTGGTCCTGGAGCTGGTGCTGGTCCTGGGTGGCACTGAAACAAGAAAAAAGTGATAAGAATTACCTCTGAATGGATGAGGATGTGTGTATGTGAGACTAGTATTCTATCTTAAAGTTGTTGGGTCTTCATGTATATTGAATGTGTTCCTGCTCAGATCCACAGTCTCTCTTTGACTCTTATACACACCTAAACAAACACACTGACAGCTGTGACACTCACCCTGGGTGGTCTCCATCTTGACAGTCCCAGCATGAGTACCGGGCGGAGGTGTGGGAGCCTCTGGAGGAAGAGACACATGACTACAGTTATGACACATCTACTTTTGTGAGGTAACACTTCAATGATCGGTGCAGGGAAAGTCCCTTCTTGCTTTGTCTTGTGTATCAAAGTCAAACTGCACTTCAGGACTAGTCGTGTGACAGCAGCGTTACGTTGTCTTGATCAAAGTTAACAGCCAATCTACTTTTTCTTAATGGCACCCTGTGTTATGTACCATGTGCACCTAGGGCTATATCTCTGTGCCCGTTTCCAGTACCAGAGTGAGGTGGTAAAGTGGAGCTCCTCTGAGTTGGGGTGGAAGCGGGAGGCGGACACTCCACAGGGAACGCTGCCTCCACCACCATCTTCACACTCATGCTCCCCAGGGCGCTGTAGGTGTGTGTGGTCACATCACGGTGTGTCACCAGCTGGTTGCCATCTTTGAAGTCCCAGATGTAGTCAATGGCGGCTGCGGTTTTGAGGTAGCCGCTGGGGTCATGCAGCTGTACTGTGAAGACCACGTCCTCACCGCGGAAGAAAACATTCTGGGACTGGTTGACCGCAACCTTCTGGGAGATGTCGACTGCCACAGGGATCTTATCTAAGGGAAAGAGTGAGTTGGGGTAAACAATTCTCCGCTTCTTTTTGTGTTTGCTACTGTCTGCCAGAAAGGTAAATAAATTAAATGTGCCTAATCATGTGTGTTTGTCTTCACCTGTGATGTAGAAGACGGTGTTGTCAGTAGTAAGGGGGCTGTACTTCCTGCGTTCACGTTTCTTGTAGACCATGACCTCAATGACCTCTGCCCCCAGAGGGATGTTGGTGGTGTTGATGGTCAAACTGGAAGAAGAGCCGTCACATGTCTCCTGGTACTGGCCTGAAAACAAAATGAGAGTTACTTATTTTTGTTTTTTCAACATGAATGTGTTCAAATCTGTAGACCTGCGTGTCTCACCCATTGCGTGCCACACGTAGACATAGCTCTTGTGGCTCCAGTCGTTGCTCTGAGGGAAAGGTTTCCCATCTGGGAACACGTTGCATTTAGTCACATCTGGACACTTTCCAAAGCCGTAGTCGTCCAACCAGGAAGTCCAGTTGTAAACGTAACCAGAACGAACCTGTCCATTGGCTGATGAAGAGAAGAGAGTGCAGTTGTGTTATTCAAAAACTTAAAAAAATAAACCTGCACTCATTTACATTTTTTAAACTACAATGGTTCAAATTACCCCTTTTGATGCATCATGTAATGTGACAAATCACATAGATAACCATCCCCTAACATTGAACTCTATGGATCACCTTGTTTTGGTCCTATAGTCTGTAAATTGAATGTTTTGGTTCAATCACACAACCCATGTTTCTAGCAACAACAGACAGTTTTTCAGCAAAATATCCACGATAAATCCACTGCACCGAAGAGCAGATAAACACATTTAGCTACTACAGAGCCAGATATTTTCCCCAGGAGACAAAAACAGAGTTGTAAGGACACAGCTAAAAACAACTCAAAATCATTTCTAATGTTGCTCTTTGTCTCCTGGATATTTGAATTGCAAAAGCATATTAACTATCTTAACTTTATAAATTGATATTATGTTGACCTAGCGTTTACAGTTGTTGTGCTGCCCCCAAGTGGCCATTAAATGAACTAATGCCGCTTTACGCATTGCCTGTAGATCAATTTTTAATGACTAAAATATTTTGCTGTTGCTGTCTGATGTGATGCCGTGGTGTTTTGTGGAGGAAGATGATGTAATGTAATGTGTGTGTGCTTGGCCTGGTCTGTTTTTTTTGGCAGCACCTGAGGCCTCGAGCTCCGTACCATCCTCGCAGTGATCATCCCATACAAGGTCCCCATTAGCATCCTCTTTCTGGCATGGTGGGTACTCCAGCTTTGCGGTGAACGTGATGCTAGAGCCATTGAGAGCCGGACTGTCGCTGGTCAGACGAACCTTTGGTTTACCTGCAGAAAAGTAGATGTTGTTGGTAAAAAATATTAAAGAAATAACATAAAGAATTGAGAGGAGAAAAATGGCTTTACTCACCTTTGTGGTGCATGAGTTCCTTTGGCTTTGGGGTTAATGGAGGGTAGAGGTAATCATCCCATGGGTTGGTGTCAGGATCCCAGCCAGGAATTGGTGGAATTGGGAATGGTATCTTCCCTGCCATGGCATGCTTGTGGGGGAACATGTCAGCATATGCTGGCAAGAGAGAACAAAACACATTTTAGGACTCCTGCACTCTTTAAAAAGTTTTGATCCTTGAGGGAAACTGACACTTGTGGGATTTTCCAGGGTAAAACTTGTTATTGCTATTCTGCAGTTTTAAACTAAATATCTATAGAAACAGATATGATAGCCATATCTGTATATGAAACAGTTTTATTTTACTCCATTCCTTGGTTTCTTCCTTCTGTCTAAAGTATGAAATCAAGCATGAATCACATATTTTAAGGGACGACATGAACAGAGTTCCATCGATGTAATTAAATGAAAGGAAAAATAATCCAGATATTTGAGGATACATTTTCTTGCAAACAGACATACACATATACACTGCTCATAACTTGACAATAATTATTTGAAACTACATGTATAGTTCTAATAATACAATACAACTTTTGTTATTTTCATAGTTATGACGACTGAGGAAAAAACGTGTTTTCCCCCATTGGGATCCTATTTAAAAAAAAGTTTGACATTATTGTAAATGTATTAAGATATATTACATTTGTATGAACTTTTCTTTAAGATTGTTTTTCTGACCGGACACCATTAGCCAGGTCTCGCGCCTTAATTAAACTCATGGGACTCTGAGTGCAGATCTGAGAACAGGTAAAACAGATACTGTAAGACCTTGAGCATCAAACGTATATCAAACCCTTAATAATACTGTAAAATGATATATGTTTTAAAGCCAAGGCCATTAAGATTGCATTTTTTTTGTCATTTTAGTGTGAATATTTTTAATGTAAGGTGTACATTTAGGAAACACATAAGCCTGCATTTAATAAAATGTAGTCAGACTGAATGTTCAAGATAGTATAAAATAACTTCAATTAATAAAGCTGACTAACTCTGAAGCACTTACTTTTGCGTCCATCAGCTTGGAAAACAACGCAGGCACAAACCAAGAGAATAACGAATAGCAAGCCTTCCATTTCCACTCTTCAGCAGGAAAGTGTCCTGTCCAAATCTTTCCAAAAAAATGCCAGACACATTAAATATCTAGTAGCCTAATACGTGTTCCCCGACAGAGCTTGTGTCTCTCTCTGCCCGTCTAGCTCTCCAAATTGAACCTCCTGCTTGCCCTGATGTCCAATAATTGAATCTGGGGCCGCTGAGCGCACAAACATGTGATGTTTCCTAACAAGACGCATCTCATCCCTCATTAGTCTGCTTTACGCAAACAGTCATGAGAGATGCAGACCGTCGGCACGCCCCCTCACCCTCTGACCTGAATGAGCAGCTTTTAATTCAAAGGAGCATTTATTCAACAATATAAAGTTATTGTATGCTCACGAATTGATTATTTGTCTAATTAGAAAAACGCAACAATAAAGTCATGATATATTTCCTTTTTGATGCAGTCTAAGGTAGCCTACAAATTGCTCTAATGATTAGTATTAGATCCTATGGCCTGAATAATATAATTAGTATCAAATTTTACATTTAAATAACGTTCTCTTAATAACAATTACAGTTTGCCATCGTTTTCATTATTCTGATCCATTCCGGAGAAACATGTTCAATTAAATGTTTCAATTAGTCATGTCAATTTTATAGTCTACATCCCATAAATCCTAAACCGCAAATGTTCCTCAGTTATATTACGCACAGCACGGCTGCGAATCGTACACAATGTAATATAATTACATAATAGAGTTATCGATATTATTTTTTATTGTAGGCCTATTCCTAGTTTGATGGTAACCTTGAATCCTGATCACCTTAAATGTCCGCGTGTGTGTGACAGCCGAGCACATGACTGTCTTTATTACTGAATACATTGGTCTGATCGAGCTGTGTCACGGTGAAACGCACAGATGTGAAGTCTGGGCAGTGATTGCTCCATACTGCAGCACCAAAAGCAGAAGGAAAGCGTAAAATGTGCGCTCGTTTTCGACACCATCCAACATGTGATTATTAATTCAGCGGGTGTGCTGCTGTCACGATGCGAGTCTGGAACTGCTTCAAAGGTAACACAGAAGGTCCCGAAACTCAAACCCACTCACAATCCATTTACTATCCAAACTATTTGATTAACCCTGAACCTCCGAGAGAAAACTTTGATCTGTGTTAAAAAAATTAAAAAAATTAAAAATCTCACAGATTCACGATAGCCTATTTAATTTACAGGAAACGAATAAAGCTGCTGCTAAGGTGAAGTTATAAAGGTCCCCAGAAAAAATATTTACAAATAATATTTTATCCCAATGAAGTCAATGTGGTCAACAAACATAGCCTATACACAAATGTCAGAAATACTGTGCCTGTTGTGTTTATGTCTTATGTGATGTAATTTTTCCATTAAAGTGATTGTTTGTCTTGAGTTAATGGTTTTTGTGTTTTTTTCTTTCTGTGTATATTTTGCAGCCTTGCCAAGACAATGAGGTTGGCTCTATTGTATTCTGAAAAACTGCATTGTGGGTGCACAACATTTTAGGAAGAAATGAGAATGGGATCATGAAACGGGGGAAGAACAATAATCTGCTTCTCAAAATAAAAAAAATAATAAACGAGAGAGATGTTTTAAACTTTGATGCAGCAGATAGCAATTTAACAGTGCAGTGTGTGGCCTCAAGGTGTAGGCTATTGTCGATAATCGAAACCCCAAATAATGCAATGAAAATAGGCTACCTAGGAAATTCATCTACGACTCTTTGGTTCACCGTGAGACAACTACACGTTATTCGAAATGTAAGGTAATCATGAAAATACATTTAAATTATTTAAAGCTTAAAGATCAAACCCATAAAAGCTGCCTAAAATGCTATCAAATGATGATCTCAAGTTCTGATTGGCTTTGTTGTTGGTGTTTTAGTAAAAAAAAACAGTCAGACGGTAACAACTCACTAATTTATCTGCATGTGCGCAATCACGTCTTTTGAGTGATGTTAATAATTGTGCAGGCTTTTTCTAGGAAACATTTCTGAAACACCATTAATGTTCACCTTGAATCGTCTCTCCGTCTCGAGGAAAACCGAGCCAACTCCAGGCATCGTTAAAGGCCAAGAAGTGTGACAAAAAGCCACGGAAGTCACCTAGTAAGTGGAACCTGAATTACCTTTATTTGTCGTCAAATAAACACGACATGTTGAAAAAAAGGTTCGTTTACATCAATACTCATCATCCTCCAGTAGAGGGCAGCACCACTCCGCAGCTCTCATGTTGGAAAGCTGGAAAAAGGAGTGCTGGGGCCCTATGGTTCCCATTGTGCCAATTGTTTGGATTATAAATATTGATTGTTTACTAATATATAATTCAGTATACATGTGATAAAGTCTGGTAAAAAGTGTGTTATGTTAATCTGATTAAATTGTGTGATATTAATCTGAAAATTCAAAGTAAAAAGTAATCAAAAAGGTAATGCAGTAAAAAGTGTGAAGAGGCATTCTGTCTGTCTGTCTGTCTGTCTGTCTGTCTGTCTGTCTGTCTGTCTGTCTGTCTGTCTGTCTGTCTGTCTGTCTGTCTGTCTGTCTGTCTGTCTGTCTGTCTGTCTGTCTGTCTGTCTGTCTGTCTCTCTCTCTCTCTCTCTCTCTCTCTCTCTCTCTCTCTCTCTCTCTCTCTCTCTCTCTCTCTCTCTCTCTCTCTCTCTCTCTCTCTCTCTCTCTCTCTCTCTCTCTCTCTCTCTCTCTCTCTCTCTCTCGTCATGCCTTCTCATTTACAGCCCTGGCCTCTGGTCGAATGGTGGAATGCAGTCTCATTCCTGCAGAGTACATGGACTGGAGCTTCAGAGTGTGAGTGTGTGTGTGTTTGTTTATGTGTGTGTCTCCATAAGTGTGAGTGTGTGTGTGTTTGTGTGTGTGTGTCTCCATAAGTGTGGGTGTGTGTCCATGCTCCATTTATGTTTATGCATGTGTCTGCAAATGTGCTGGCCGTGGAAACTCCAATTCAGTGTGTGTTTTGGCTGCAGGTCGGGACATATGCGGTGTTCAATGTGCAGTGCAGCACTGGAAAGACATGAGGACTTTCTTTCTTCTCAACCTTGAAGCTTCTAAACTTATTCCCACAAGGAGACAGAAAAACTGGTCACTTCTAAACTCTTTCCGTCTCTGTGATCTTTCATGTCTCTATCATTTCCACCCTCTTTGCTACACCGTCATCTTGTTGCTCTGAAGCCCTCCTTTACTCTTTCAACTTCTCAATCTGTCTCTCCAGGTGTCCCCAACCCTCCTCTGTGTACTGTAATCACAATCATCACAAGTCATTCTGCCCTGTCATCCTGAGCAGAGGGGGGTTGAGTGTCTTTGAGAACAATGGGAAGAAGGCTGTGAGTTGCTAATCCCACTCACTCACTCAACCCATCCAGACACCCACACCACTGTCAGGGAGGGGGGGGGGGGGGGGGGGGGGGGAGGGGACTGATCTCTGGCTACAGCTTTCAAAGCCAAGCTGCCTTTCACAGCTTCATCCAGCCACAACACAGAGCAGAGTGTGTGAAGCAGGCTGACACATATGGACTTCCTTTCTAGTGATGTGGTGAAGACACTTTGGTATACAGACTGACCTCTTGGCCACCATCATAAAGAAAACACCACCCTGAGGCCACTTGGTATAACAGCATTAGGAACGTTTTGCATATTCCATTCCTTACCTCACATTTAGGGCGTTTTCACTTTTCTCTAAATTTTTTATTTCAGTGCCTCTTTGTAAAATTCCTTCTGATCAAGTAGGAACAACTATTTCCACTTGTTAAAAAAGTAAATTCAAATAAAGATGGACTAGAGTATATGTTGACTCCCAAAGTGTTCAAATCTAACTCTTTATTTGGCGTTTATATTTTACACTTTTGACAGTGTTCAGAGAACACCAAACTCTTGGACCTATATACACCCCGAGACTGGTGTTAAATGTAGCCTACTCTTATAGAGTACAATGTACACTGTGGTTTTTGCTGTGTGCATGGTTGTCTGAACTCAGTTGAAAACAGACTGCTAAGATCCCCTCGGAGAACCAGGGACTGACTTTACCACCGCCCCGCTTCCCAGCATCGACAGTGGTCATGGGACTGCGAGGCCCGCCGCCAGCTGGCCAGCGATAGCATCTTTGATGTGTGACGCACCGGGGAGACGCCTCCACCAAGCCGACTCTCACATACTGCAGGAAGAATAAAAACACTGTCTCATTTCACTGCAACGTGGACTTATTTATAACAGAATGTTGTTTTTCTGTTGCGAAACAAACCGAGTTTTGAAAGAGAACTGGTGCCATATTAAATTCAAACTAAACACAAAGTCCTCCAAATGAGTCATTTCAAAATTAAATAAATCATGAAAAAGACTGAATTAAACACTTTGAGAGAAGCAGCTTGCATTACAGTGGTTTCCATTAGACTATTGGACCTATTGAAAATGTTGGCAAATAAATCCCTTTGATCAGATAACTGTTGGGATTGCTTTCAGGGTTGAGACAGCAGGTGGATCCATCAGGTGCATCTTTAGACCTTGAGCTCGGATCAACGCGGGCTTTAGGACCCCGGGATGAGCTGGGTGAGCTGGGTGAGAGGCAAAGTGTGCGCACCTACACCATGAAAGAAGAAGTTGAGGGGGTGTCTTGAACCTGCCTCGTCTGTCACTCCCATCCCAGGTCTGCTGCTCCATGGATGCAGCGATACACTCCAGAAGACTAACGGGGCGAGTTATTTAGCCTACTTTCTGCTTTTCCATGCAGTGCTGAAATGTAATCGAACTCAAAGTTAAGTCAAAGCTAACAAAATGGGTCATTCAAGGTGGGTCAATTTCCTATCCTGTTCTCTGCACTCTTCATGATGAGGCTGTGGGGCAGAGCCATAGTCCGGAGGAGGAAGGTGCTCTGCCTCTGGCTGCTGCTGCTCGGGTTCGCCCTGGTAACTCTGGCTCTCTCTGACCTCTTAAACCGGGACCGAGTCCACAGTCACCAGAATCCTGTCCCTCCACGCCGACCCCTCCAGGGGATCCCCAATGACCTGGAGGTCATCGTGGACTCGCGGGACCCTGCATTAGAGCTCGGTGTGGATCTCGCCCCGCTAAAATCTCTGCAAGAGGACCAGCTTTTATTTGTACCATCTATGCAGGGCACCAAGAACCCACAACAGAGGAAGGGAACGTACAAGGTGCTTCTGCCTGGAGCAAATAAGGACACCCGCACCCCTGCGCCCCCGACGCACGGTGAAAT